CACAAGCCCATGGACACATATACAATGAACATGATATGGAACACAAGCCCCTGGACACATACACTATGAACATGATATGGAGCACAAGCCCATGGACACATATACTATAAGGAATGTACTGGGAATGACCATCTGTGCTACTTCCACTGTGTACGATACTGCCCTGCTGCACTGCTGCTGCACTGCAGTAATTTGTGTGCTTTTTTGTCCTTGTTTACTTATCTTCTTTCTAGGAATCAAGTGCGACCAGCAAACCAGCTCCTGCCGACACCGCTGCTACCACTTCGTTTTCCAGACCGGCGACAGCTTCAGTGCAACCAGCACAGTACAAGGCTGCATATGCTGAGAATCGTGTCCCAGGAGCAGGCAGCGAGTACGGCTGTAAGGTTTGTGGAAAAGATTTCAACGGTCCATCGCCTTATGCCTCTCATATGCGAAGCAAAGCACATAAAGAAATGGTCGAAGATTACGAGTGGAACAATCGTCCGCTTTAATACGTCTTTTGCTGTGCTGGTATCCACCAGTGTTGCTTCAACTGTCTTGCAAATGGTCATATTCATGTCTGTCTAGTTTTTTTGTTAGTCGCAACCGGTAACACGCCATCATTGGATTTTTGCTGGCCGACACTTGTCCCCGTATGCCCAGGTGGGTTGTGTACCCTCATCTGTTTGTACATGTGGATAATTTGACAGAATCTGGTTATAGTTCTGCTCGGTAGTTGCCCTATTAAGTTACTGCTCATTTGGTGCACTGCCTTCTTGCACTATATGCCATGAGTAAGTACGTTATCAGCATTATTCTCATCACCCGCTTGAAGGCAGTAGCCGCTAATTGCTTCATATTGTTTGGGTCCAAACGGACAACTCCATCGCTTCCGGTAACAGCAGCAGCTCCCATGAACTAACCTCAAAACTAGGTGTGGTAATTCACCAAACGTTACTACTGCACATGTTTTCAATTAAAGTAGTAGTTGACTTGAGTTCCGTTCGCATTCTTGTGTAGTTGATTTGTATTACTTTTGGGTTTTTGATCTTGCTACTACAATACTTATGTCATTTGCTGTCCATCTTTTTTTTCTGCTGTCGCATCAAGGAGACCACGGACTCGTAGTGGCTGTGCATGTGCGTGTGTGTGACAACAGCCAGTGTATGCTGGATTCTCTACACCAAAAAAATGTCGTGTTTAGGCCCGTAGAGCTTTCTGAAAAGAATCGAGAGAGAGAGAGGGAGAAGGAAAAAATAGCATAACCATTAATGTACTTCAAGTAACAGCAATAGCTTGCCACCTGTACAGGCTGTAGCATTCAACGTACCAATCCAGTTCTCCCGTTTGCACAGTTCTATGAACTGCAGTCTGCTGGCTGGATACAGCAGCAACAAGGACTATGCATGTTCCTAAACGGGGTAACAGAAAGAAAATGAGTGGGTCAAGTGAAAAGAACATGATTGTAATTACTGTACAAGCAGAAATATTCGTCTGGAATTTAATTTCGTCTTTTTCGTCCAACGAGCTGTTGGACTAAATTAAATGCCGGACTAATATTGATTTGTCCAGCTTTTCAATACACTCTTGTGATCCATGGACGAAATTTACAACCGGACGAACTCCCTTTCTTTGGAGTTGGACGAAATTATTGACCGACGAAATTTTCTGCTTATACAGTACATGGAAGTCGGGAGAGAAAATATGCAATGAAGTGCAAGCAAGCACATTCTAAAGGCAGATAGAATGGACGATGAATGACAAATACAAGTATATTGGCTTGCTTGAGACCAGCTGCTTCATATTGTGCTAGACGTGTGCATTAGGTGGATGCGTGCAAGTGGACATGATTGGATGAGAAACACCAGCCACGAGAGAAAAGACATGTGATGCCACAGAGAGCATCATCAGCTGTGAGGAGCCATAGAGCGCCATACACAAAAATACGTAAACACTGCACAATTATTGTAATACATGTATTACAATAATATTAATGTCATTCTGAGCTAATCTCCTCTCTCTCTCTCTCTCTCTCTCTCTCTCTCTCTCTCTCTCTCTCTCTCTCTCTCTCTCTCTCTCTCTCTCTCTCTCTCTCTCTCTCTCTCTCTCTCTCTCTCTCTCTCTCTCTCTCTCTCTCTCTCTCTCTCTCTCTCTCTCTCTCTCTCTCTCTCTCTCTCTCTCTCTCTCTCTCTCTCTCTCTCTCTCTCTCTCTCTCTGTCTCTCACACTCATAGAAATCATAAATTTGCTGTATAAAGACCAGCACAATGTTGCTGAAATACAGTTTCAGCAACAACGTGGTAACATCATCTGCAGCATTAGCTCAAGTAGTGGTACAGGGTTGGTCAAGTAGTGGTACAGGGTTGGTACAGTGTTGGTACAGTAGTGCCTGTGCTCCAGCAGTGAATTGTGCAGATTGAGTACATGACTATATGTAGATGTCTGGCACAGCCCAGTGACAGCCCAGTGACAGCCCAGTGACGTCACGACAGCTCTGCACTCACTGTGCATCGTTCAGCATACACAGCGAATTAGTGAGTGATGGGCAAGTACATAATGCGAGTGAGTGTGTGTGTGTGTGTGTGCGTGCGCGTGTGTGTGTATGTGCATGTGAGTGTGTATTTGTGCTTGCGTGTGCAAACGCGTATGCGCGCACACATGGGTGTGAACTGCACAAGCTGTCAGAAACACAGCTACAGTACTGTACTACAAGGTTTATCCAATACATGTACTAGTACCATACTAGTACAATACAAGTACAATACTAGTACCATACTAGTATTGGGTTATATAGTATTGTATTGTACTAGTATTGTACTAGTATTGGGTTATATAGTATTGTACTAGTATTGTATTGTACTAGTAACATATAGGATGATGGTATCATGGCCGTCACACTAGCGACGCTGGTAAGCACGTAGCAATCACCATCAAGCGACATTGAAGTGAGTACTTCACGAGCTTGAAGACTGTCCATTGGTTAACTACCATCACCTTCACTATGCGTGTTTGTAGCTATATTTCTGTATAGAAAACACACACACACGCACACACACACACGCACACACGCACGCACACACACACACACACACACACACGCACACGCACACACACGCACACACACACACGCACACGCACACACACACACACACACACACACACACATACACACACGCACATACACACACACACACACACACACACACACATACACACATACACACACATGTACATACAGGGGAGTGGGGTGCTAAGTATGATCACAATGCCAATGGCCCACTCTTCTCATAGGTCTAGTGACTGTAGGTCATTGAAACATGAGGAACAAGAGCACCATGACTGCATGACTGCATGAGCATTGACCACATTATCTACTCTACTGCTACAGTGTAGACTAGTAGGGCATGTTTGATTGGTCAATCCGGATTCAGATCAGATACGCTGGAGCAGTCAGAACAACAGGTCCCAATCAAACAGAACAGTGAATATTTTAGACAGAAATATTGTAGCTCATGATAGCTCAACGTGCCTTGAACTTCAAAATTTCCACAGAGTTCAAAGATGTGTTGCTCAAGATGCGAGGGCGAAACAAACTTGAAAGGTGAATACAACCGGAGAAGAAGCTTCAAAGACAAAACAATTCAATCATGAAAGTGGAGACCAGCAATAAAGCGCCAATCACACGTAGACCTCCATGTACATCACCACGTCCTTTACATAGTCCCTAAAAATGCCAGAATCGCTTTGAATCAAAACATAAACTGAACTCATTTCGTAGCCCTGTCAGCTTTTCATTGGGCTTTGCAACTTGCTCTGGCTGCTCCAGCCTTGGGGGTCGGAGTGGTCACAACATGTTCCGAACACTCCAAAATCAGTGCAGACCAGTGCAGACCAATCAAACACCCCTGTTCTAAACGATCCTGTTCCGGGTCTGACCAATCAGACACGCCCGAATATGACCGAGTAATACGATCTCACCTTGACACGGAGGAGAAGTCACTGGTGGCGGTATGTTGTGAGCCATCACGAAGAAGGGTTTCCCGCATATCATCCGTACTGACACTGGTGACAAGAGCTAAGGTCACATCCTGGCTTGTGCTGCTGCACACTTTGCCACCACTCCCACCACTGCTTCTTCTCTGGTCTTGCAACTGCTGTGGCTCCCGTTGTTGTTGCTGTTGCTGCTGGAGTGGTTGCTGCTGACCATACCTAGAATAGGTCATAGGCAGCAGACACACACATAGGGAAGCACAATGTCACCTCATGCCCCATTAGTGTTGACTGGTCAGTTCTAACTGGACAGCCAAGGACAATAATTCACAGTAGAGAGGTTTTGCAGAGCGAACGTTCGCAATGATTTTCGCGTTCCGGGTTGCGAAAACTATTGCGAAAACTATTGCGAAAACTATTGCGAACTTTCGCGCGAAATTTGTGTTTTGCATGTTTTTCGCTCCAAGTAATTTTCACGTGCACTCGCTTGTTTGAGAAGTGGTCTTCATCCGAATATTTTGTTGTTGCAAGTGGCGGCACCCTGAGTCATGGCCTGAGACGAGAGCTCTTTGACTACCTTGTCCATGGCCGGAGACCCACAGACAAACGGGTTGGCTCGTGCCGTAATCTGGCGCATCAACACCTGAAATTCAAAAAGGCATCGTTGATGTAACCGACTCTGAGCAGTGAGAAGACGAGCAGGCAGGAGATCGGAGATGGTTCTGGAGATGAAGCAACACGGGCTGCCACAAGTATAGGAAAGCTAGCACCCGCGGACCAAGCCAAGAGTAGAGATCAAGCACAAACATGAGGATTGAGGGTGGCTCACCGCGCACGAACAGTCCACAAAGAGCGAAAATTACTGCGAACGTTTGCATGTTTCTCGCTCCAAGAAAATTTCGTGTGCACTTGCTTGTTTTTGAGAAGTGTTCTCCATCCGATTATTTGTTTGTTGCGAGTGGCGGCACGCGCACCAGGTACCATGAGTCACGGCCTGAGACGAGAGCTCTTTGACTACGTTGTCCATGGCCCACAGACAAACGGGCCGGGTTGGCTTGTGCCGTAATCTTGCGCATCAACACCTGAGATTCAAAAAGGCATCATTGATGTCACACCAATTCTGAGCAGTGAGAAGACGAGCAAGCAGGAGATCGGAGATGGTTCTGGAGATGAAGCAACACGGGCTGCCACAAGTATCGGAAAGCTAGCACTCGCGGACCAAGCCAAGAGTAGAGATCAAGCAGAAACATGAAGATTGAGGGTCGCTCACCGTGCACCAGGCTGACCAGCGGTCCACAAAGAGCGAAAATACTGCGAAAGTTTGTTTCGCGTTTCCTGCAACTTTCGCGTTCAAAACTGCGAATGTTCGCACGAAGTTTCGCTTTTTGTGACGTCAAACGAAAATTCGCGCGAACGTTCGCTCTGCAAAACCTCTCTAGTATGTGCAAAACAAGACAGTGTGATCTCGTCGATTGTTGTTTGTTGTACGCGCTAGAATACAAGCCCCCCACCCCCTCCCTTCGAATAGAGCCCCCATATCAAATAGAGCCTGTGTGTCAGAAGGAATGGGAATAATAAAGCCCCGTCTCGTATCAAAGCCCGGGGCTATAATCGAGTGCGGAATGTCCGTACCATGCAGTGCAGTTACGGGTACTTTACCGTACAACGATCGAGTGTAGTCACTGCATGTACTGATCAGCAGGAATAGAGTGAAACAATTGGTTTTTCGATTCAAAAACATAGCCCCTCTCGAATATAACCCCTTCGATGTGTCTTCTGGAAAAATAGAGCCCGGGGCTTCTATTCGCGTCTATACGGTAGAATGTTGGCTGGCTATAAGGTCAAATATAACACGCACCTCTTCTTCAAACTTGCATCCTCATCTTCGTCATTCTGCGGCAACCGTATAGCTCCACTGCATACACCCACCCACACCACACCACACCACACACACACACACACACACCATACACACAAACACACACACACAAACACACACACACACGTACGCACACACATACACACACACACACACACACACACAAGCACACACATATCGGCAATCACACAGTAGCGAATAGTTGGTGAAGAGCATAAATAAACCAGACCGTTGATGATGCACTGTTGTACACACGGGTAATGTTGGCATGAAAAACACTCAACTCTCCTCTCCCTGTCTAATATGATTGCCTTCTTCAGGTACGTATAGAAATCAAACTCGTTGTAGGAAACCATCCCTTGGTAAAACCAATGGTGGTGGCGGCCAATAGTACATGGACTGTGGCAGGTGTGATGCAAAACCGACACACAATGCACATGAAAACATATGTATCCACATAAACTCCTCGATTTGGGCTAAGGCCTGTGGAGAATCCATACTAGTAAATACAAATACAAAACGGCCAATGAACATGATCATTACAATACAGTACTAACTTGTATTGGGAGCATTATGCAATCAGAAATCACAAAAAAACAGTCACACAACTGGAAATACCATTCACCAAATCAATATCCTCTCGCCATGTACTTGTAACGCACTCCGAAATCAATGTCAGCTGGCCTTAGCACAGCAAGACACGTTCCACTTGCATTCAAGTAGACCGCGATCTCATACTATTCTCAACCCAACACTACTACATCAGCACATCACCACAGCAATCGCCACCTTCGCTGCCGCCACCAGAACCAGGAGCACCAGCACCCCCCCCCCCCCCCTCCCCCAACACACATATATACACTCCCCCCCCCCCCCAACACATACACCCCCCCCCCCCCCCCCGCAACACATACACACTCACTCCCCCCCCCCCCCAACACATACACACTCACCCCCCCCCCCCCCCAACACATACACACTCACGCCCCCCCCCCCCCCCCCCCAATACCCCTACACATACACACTGCCCCTCCCTCCCCCCCCCCCCCCCCCCACATACGCACTCATCCCCCCCCCCCCTCCCACACACACATTCAAACTCACTCACCGGTACTGTTCACCTTCTTCAGAATAGTCATTAACGTTCATAGCACCTTCCTGGTTATCGACGCCTGTAGTACAATGCAATGGAACACAATGGGAAAGCTGCTGGTTACCCTTTGAGAGCAATGGCAAAGAAGGAAATAACACACACGTCCACATACACAGGCACTATCAAAGTGCACACCCATACACACCCATAGCTTGTTCCTGCTACTGTAAGTCAGCAAATATTCGGCGCATATTTATTTTCGGCTATTTTCGGTGGTCTGTTGGTGCCTAACAGACAATTCCTAACTGAATTATCACTGGGTATCAGCACTTATCACCTGATAAGACCAGCAGATGAGAGTACTGCTATATGCCATGAAGGTGGCAACTTGCCCAGTGTAACAATTACCATGTGCTATGTAGTGCCGCGATATGGAGTGTGTGCCAAAGTGTTAGTTATCTGTGCATTGCTACGTAACATACTCTCGTGGAATCAGGTAACAAAGCTTGGCAATTGATATAATTTCCATCCTTACCCTCATAAACAACATCAGCACTTGACACGGGTCGACCAGAATTCATCTGATGTAGCAGGGTCTCATCGCTGTACTTCCTACATATAGGGGAAACCACCAGTATGCACACCAGCACCCCCAGCAGACACAAACACACACAAACACCCCCCCCCCCCCCCCCCACCACACACACACACCCACCCACACACACACGTGTGCAAACAAATCAACACTAGTAGTACAAGAAAAGCACACCAACACCAGTACGGCAGTAGGCAATCTGTAGAACAGTAGAATGCCCATTATCCAAACTATCGACTACTAGTATCTGAAGCACCTTGTCGGGGCAAGCATGCGTTTTGGCTGGGGTTTTCATTCGCAGTTGCACCAGTGTGCAGGGTGCATGCTGCAAGGTGTTGTCAAAATCTAGCCCCAGCAGTAATTTCGAGAAGTTGGAATGCATCGCATTCCCGCCGTACAGCCAAACCAGAACGAGAAATGATGAAAACATGATGGAACGTGCATGTTTTAGCTGAGTGTTACATGTGCTTCTGCTCCCAACACACTCCTCTCATCTGAACCGCATGTAGTGTATTGTGTTGTGATATCAGCCAGGCACACACAACCATAGATATTCCATCAATACGGCAGGCACACACAACCATAATTATTCCATCAATACGGCAGGCACACAAAGCCATAGATATTCCATCAATAAGGCAAGGATGACACCGATCGGTAACTGATCTATAGCCAGCATCGCTACCCTCTCTACTCCGCCACTTGGCATCCCCAGGGGTACCAATGAAAACCAACACTGTTACATAGCTGACGACCAACTAAAGACAATGCCAAGGCAAAATGAAAATACCGCAGCAAACGGGACAGACACAAAGTTCAAATGGTTTTGTACACTCATACCACCAGCTATACCACACCAACGGCATTTTCTTCGTTTTAACATGCATATTGCGGATTCGAAATTAGCCATCTCCCCATTTACCTCACAGACGACAGCCAGTGAAATGCAAGTAAGCCAGAGCAGCAGAGTTGGGGCAATCAATGAAAACGTTTCTGATTCGGGACAAAGTAACTGCAGCAGTGACCTTGCCCACGGAAGAACGCTCTGGCTGATATTCTCCCACATCAGAACAATGTAGTATGCGAGACCATACCAGGCTAGTTCTTATTACCGTATTATCTCTAATATAAGCACAGTCTCCAATAATAGCACGTCTCCAATAATAGAACACCTTGGGGCGGCATTCAAAAAATAAAGTGCTCAGTCTCCATTATAAGCACACTGGGTAAGTTCATTATCTGTACCGGCGAAAAAAACCCTGAAATGTGTGTTTCTGACATGAATTTGGCATGGCAACATGCCTCTGAAATGAGGTTGAAATAGTAATGGAACAGTCTCCAATAAAGGAACGTCTCCATTAATAGCACGTACATTAGGATATAAAGGTACTTATGGACTATTCGAGGGAACCTTCGTCCGGAAGTTTCCATTGCACCGCTGATTCTCTAAGTTTGCTGCCTCGTAGCTGGGTCTATTCTTAAACCCATCCACTTAAATCTACACGTATTATGGGCGCGATAGGATATTTAGTCGCCATAAAGACCAATTTCCAAATAAATTGAAATACAGTATAGCAGTGCACGCGATGGAAAATTGCACACTTACATTTTATCCTGCGGAGCAAATTCAGTATAGCGATTGTGACCACTGCCGCCAGCACAGCAAACGTTCAGCTCGCGAACTCGGCGTCGAAATGATGGCCAACACTGACCCATTGCGACTAACTGCTTGAGTAATAAGTATACCAATAATGCAGTAGGAACGATTCTCTGATTCACTTCTAAGTTATATTCTCAAAGCATTTGTCTATATTTCAAAACCGAGACCATCTTTACTTCTTTGCCTGTACCCACCCTTGACCGGCAAGGCTACTTGAAGACTCCAGAGAGATTCAAATACTCGAAGTCTTTCAAAACATAACCAGATTTACTTCAGTGACAGAAAGAAGAATGGTTATGCTTTGCTTTGCATGCACTAGTATCTAGAGCAGAGGTACTAGGTTGAGAAAATAATTCAAAAAAGCGAAAAGAATCGAAAAAATGGGCTCGATCGTTTGGGCCATGGGGTGACATGACTTCATCACACACGTACACGCTCTGTAAAATATTTCGCGCGAAAGTTTATTTTGGTAAAGATGAAGATGTCAGTCGATGAAATAATTAGCTGTATTTTTGTTTGCTGTATTTTTGTTTGTGTGTCTACTAGTAGTCCAACCCTACTGCAGGCCTGTACGGATCGAACAGACGATTCCCGAGTGCGACGAATGTCCTGAAGTCTGCTCCTAGGTCCTATTACTATTAGCTAGGTACTACATGTATCTAAAAATTTCAACTTGAGTGTCAAGTGAAGACTTTGTCGGTTGCAGCCGAGGTAATTCTCGCTTCACGATTTTTCTGGTGTACGAAGATACGTTGGAATGCCGCCCCACCACATCCGACAGTATGCTTCGGCAGGAATGCAGGTTGGTGCATATTACCTAATAAGATATGTCTTGTATACCTTTCCTTTCTCTGCATGCTTGATTAATCCGATGGCACGAAACTACATGTATAGACATCTGCAAAAATAATTAACTTTTATTGTTTGGTCGTTGAATGTCTCAGCACTCCCTGCCAGTTTGTGCCTTTTTGTCGCACTCGCTGACCGTATATGATCTGTTTACATTAGTGCATGATGGACAGTTAGTCATAACTCGTAACACTTTGTCCTTCTTCTTTTTATCCATGATTATTTATAATTGGCTCACCGCCCGAGTTTATTATTAAAAAAAATGATAGGGAAATATGTAATGTACACACACACACACACACACACACACACACACACACACACACACACACACACACACACACACACACACACACACACACACACACACACACACACACACACACACACACACACACACACACCACACCACATCACACACACATACACAGACACACACACAGACACACACACAGACACACACAACACACACACACACACACACACACACACACACACACACACACACACACACACATATACACCCCCCCCCCCCCACACACACACACACAGCACTATAAAATTCCATCACACTACGGGGATTTTCACTGGAACTGTGCGCAAAGGCGAGTCATTGGATTTCATTGAGCAGCTTAATGAAGTACATGTACATCCGTATAAAACCCTGTGTGGCGGTTCTGAAAAACCTTTACTGGTGCTGCCCCCGTCGTAAAAGTAAGAAATTAGAACTGGCAAATTGTCCCCCCAAATATGAACTGATCCACCTTAATGGCAGACCCGAATGCACCAGTAGCACGAGGTTCCTATACGTGTGGATGCATCTGGGGATGCTGGTCCATGACCATTGATGAACTCCTATGACATGTATGTTGGATAAGTACACTCGGACGTCTCTTATCCGGGCACCTTGGGACCGGGTACTGCCCGTATCTCAGAATAACTCATCTACCATGTATCATAATTATCACTTTTTGAAGAAGTTTATTTGGAACGTATTGCACATGTTCAGGATACAAAAGGAACCCATTGATTAAATATGCGTGGATTACATAGGTTGGCAGTGAAAAATAAGCACTTCCGAATACGGAAAAAGTTCAAAACCCCCAAATTCGAAGTATTTGTGCTAAAGGAACTCAAGCTGAAGGTGCCCGGTAGAGAGACGTGCCCGTATCTGAGGCGTCCGGATAAGAGGCGTTTGAGTGTATCTACCAGGGAGTCGCATTATACTACTCCCTGGTACCTACTAACAAAGTTACACTGCTACCAGTCCTGGCCTTACCCTATGTTTAATAATTTAATTCTTTTTTCCGCCCCATTTCCCCCATCTCTCTCCCCCCCCCCGATGGGTTCGGGTCCCGTCATTCGTGATTAGGGTGGATCACACACAATCGCGTCTTCATCTTTTTTTCTCGCCATGCGGAGTTTTTGGGAAAAAATTAATGCTCGTCTTGTCTCAGCCCAACGCCTTTTTTTCTTTTCACGTAGCATGGCGTGAAAAGAGAAAAATAATCCTGGCCTAGAGCGCTCTATGCCCGGCGTCCGGCTAGCACCGCTAGCGCTGCCCTCTTGAACGAAATAATTTTATTTTTATTTGGACTCAGATGGAGAGCCAAGGATTCATTTATAACAAAGAAATGGACCAAGGACCTACAAGTTACGCTGTAATGTCCACTAACACCACCAGCTACTTGACAATCAGGTCATGCGATGTCGTCATCGACATGCATGTACAGCTGCCAACGTCCGTCACAACTGAAACTTTCAGCTTGTCTTGGTTGCGCGCACCTTCCCCTCCTATGTTATTACTACAATGTATAACCAAGAGTCCAAGAGTGTGCAACTCGACGATCCCCCAGCCGATGGCGGATTTTTTTAATGACATCAGTCTTTGGCGGCATGTTTGGCTCACTGATGCCATCATGCTTAGCCAGAGATCAAAGTACAAAGAATTTGTACATCACAGCTACGGTAGTCGAAGCAGAACAACAGACGATGGCTCGATGTGTCCTGAACCTAATGGACTCTCACCGTATCTACAAAACAAGCGCGGGAAAGCATACACACTTGATCATGATCATGAGTCCTAGGGGTCAAACGGGTGTACCTTTAACTAACGAACGGGTAATTTTCTTAACGGGCGGGTTAACGGGTACCCTTTAGCAGCTGTATTATTTTTTTGCGCATTTCTCACATAAATCATGATTTTAATTTGTATATTCTCAGCTTGTATTTTGATACTACATTATGATTCGCAATTGATTCGTGTATCATAATAATTATTATTATGGCAATGAAGGTTCCAAATGAATGTCATCCGTGCATTTGCCCATGTACATAACTTCACAGGCAATAACTTACAATCGTGCATGTAGATGGTCCTACAAGCTACATGTACATGTATTTTGATACATGTACGCAAATCAACTGCAGATCGATGTGATTCAAGCCATGCAAGGACAGAGAGCTGGAGTGGTTTAGCAAAACTTCCGTGATCTCGCGCAATCCTATTTGCTATGTTCGCAGAGAACTGGTACTCGTTGCATTCAGAAGATGTTCGCACCCATAGCTAGCTGGGGTGCCTGACACAGCTGATGTGTTGCTGGCCAGCTAGCTGCTAGTGCTAGCTTGTTGAACTCGTGAAATGAATCTTCACAAATCCGTAATCTTGTATGCAATATTTCGAACTACTTTTCAGCTCGTCGATTGAAGGAACAAACTACAACCATGAGTATCATACTTCGACTGGTCACTCAGCCTGGTGACACTAGTTCATCAAGTACTGTGGCAGGTTCGATGTCGGAGAACCATCGTAACTTTCTAGTTACTCAGCTGCCACCTCGAACGAGTTTCAAGTCTTGCATTTTCTCACATCACAATGAAAAACCTCCAGTACGAGGATTTTTACTTGCACTAGAGTGGAGAGAACAACTGTCAAGTCTGTCTTTCAGCCTGCTCCTGCCTGATAAAGTCGAAAACGGGAATGCACAGGAAAAAGGAAAAGAGTATCCGCACTCCTATTTTGAGTCTTGGAATACGATAGGATCACTTTTTTTTTTTTTTTTTTTTTTTACAAACGGGTACCCTTTTACTAACGGTACCTGAGATTAACGGGCGGGTAACCGGGTACCCGGTACACCCGTTTGACCCCTAATCATGACGCAATAAAAAATTCCGCCATGGGTGAACCCATCACAGCTCGAGATAGGAGTTGCACACTCTTGGTTATGTACTCTTGGATCTTGCTATAACTTAGTTTGTGCAATTTTCACATAAATCATGATTTAAATAATCGACGAGGAGACAATAATCGTAAAATGGCAATAAATAAGATCAATTGTGCACTCATAACAACAGCAAAAAATGAAGAAAGTTAAGTTCCATAACGTTTTCTCGTGACTTTCATCAGTGGAACGCTGTCACATAAAAATGTAATAACTAAACACATACCCTTATATAGCTAATATGGTTTCAGGTAGAAATACAGTAGCCAGCAAGTACAAACAGCGAAGTTTACACCTTTCCTGTGTGTGAATAAAGTGTATGTGAGAAAAAGTAGTGGCAGATGAATGTGATACCGTGTGAATGAATGTAATGGTGCGTGTGTATTACTTGAAGGGTGTGAGTGATACAACTTTTCTTTCTGTTTACATAGCACAGGGTCACGAGTACGAATATACACAGCTCCCAACACCTGCAATTACTTGAAGAAACGTGCCAAACGAATACACACTGAACCAGGAATCATCAAACACCTTACGATATTCTGGACTGGACACCGAATGTTTCTTCAATCTATTGCAGGTGTTGGAAGCTGTGTATATTCGTACTCGTGACCCTGTGCTATGTAGGCAGAAAAAAAAAGTTGTATCACTCACACTCTTCAAGTAATACAATACACACGCACCATCACGTTCATCCACACAGTATCACATTCATCTGCCACTGCCTTTCTCACATACACTATATTCACACACAGGAAAAGTGTAAACTTCGCTTTTTGTACTTGCTGGCTGCTGTATTTCTACCTGAAACCATATTAGCAATATAAAAGTGTGTGTTTTAGTTACTTTCTTCATTTTTTGCTGTTGTTATGAGTGCACAATTGATCTTATTTAGTTTAGCATTTTTAAATCATTTTTAAATCATGATTAGACTTGGGTGCAGAGGCAAGGATTAATTTATAAAAAGAAAAGATGACCAAAGAGCTACAAGTTACGCCATAATATCCACTTACACCACCAGTTACTTTACAATCAGCTCATGCGATAACATTGCACTGCACTGACCAATGGTACTGACGTTCTACACCTAACTGGTAATCAGCTCTAAAGCCTAGTTCACATTCGACGCAACGCCGACGGTACGGGACGTAAGGGCTTGTCGGGAGGGCTGGGGTGAGCTGTAAAATCCTGTACGATTCGTACGACACGACATGCAGCAGTCGTTGCGACGTTCAACGCCGAACGGCGCGAGTCATAAGGCATGGTCCGTGACGGGGTGACTTTCGGACCTAATTTCTCGTTTTTCGGGACTTCGTTTCAATTATTTCTCCTTGAAAGAAGCGGAATCAAGTTCACAATACCAGTTTTTCATGAAGATCAAAAAGTAGCCCTGAAAGTTGTGGCATTCAAATAATAGCCCCAGGAAATGATAGAATAGTTCGTCTGTCACGCTTCTGAACTATCCCTAAATACAATAAGTGACAAGAGATCTTATGTTGCTAAAATTCAACTCAAGTCGTGCTAGCCATTCTGTGAGTTATCATGGGAAGCGCAGTGTTCGAGATGCTAAAAATATCCAAGTACGAATCGGGAGTAGTCGGCGCGCGACGCCGTCTCCTGTTCACACTCGAATTGCAGCCGTTTTGTACGCTTGCGGCCCCGTCTACGGTATGAAAAGTTGGATCGATCCAACTCTTCCCGTCGCTTCCCGATCTGTACGGTAGTACGGTTG